TTTAAGAAAAACCTTACAGCTCCATGGCAATAGGTGTAAAGTCTGTCTGCATTCTTACGAACAATAAAGTGACATCAGCTTTACAAGAGAAATACACGACTGTTCAGGTAACACCTCTGCCCAACTCGGATGTGTGCACTGCGCTCATCAGTTGCCTGCATGTGTCCTTACTTAAGAAAATTAAGATGCTTCCATTTGGGGTAAGTTTTGTGGTTTCCTTTTTAACCTCCACCTGCAATGTTTAGTAAAAAACCTTCAGGCGTTTGTAGCCATTAAAAACACCTATGCAGTGGTTTAAAGTAAGGATTTCAAAATTGTCATTCTTTCTAACCTTTTTGGGGTAAGCTTCTAAAGTGTTGGTGGGAACACAGCTAGAGCTATTTTGTAAATGTCAGTAAAAGAGCAAGAACTAACTGAATGCATACTGTTTGTCCAGTTCATCTTGATGTTACACTGTCTGCCAGAATCAAAAGTATTTATAAAATAATTTAGAAGAGAAAAATATAAATGACTGCCCATGTAAGAAATCTAAAACATGGGTCTTGTGATGGTGTCTCATACTGAAATAGTGGCCTCAGCAATGAACCAAACGTGAACTTGTAGTGTTCTAAAAAGGATTAATTACTTGGGCTTTCTGTGGGCAGAGGTGTTGGGGAAATTGGAGAGTGTTGAAGAATAGTGGCAGAAATTATGTAGTGACTTGAAAGAGAATTTAGATTAAATGTCAAGAAAATGGTTTCTTTATAGATTATTCTAAGCTATTATACTAAACATGGAGGCTATGCAAGAAAACCTAGGGGGACACTCAGTCTAGAGAAGATCAGGTTACTTTGTCGTGGAGTCCATGTGTCTTTGTGTGTGTTCCCACTTACAGCTTTAGAACCCTTTGGCCAATTCATCTCATCGGACACAAAGAAAATAAATGTTCTATAAAAATGCACAGGGAAGAGGGGCTAAAGATTGATTCAAGTGTCCTGAGAAGGCAGCTTCAGTACAAATGCCTCTTTATTGGCATCTACCAGAGAGGGAGGTCTTGCATATCCTCCTTAGCAAAATCTTTGTTTAGAGCACACATCATCTTTAAATATCAGGTCCAACAGAGCAGGGAAGAAAAACATACAAAACTCTGAGTTCTGGTTCTCACAGGGCATATTTCATTTCTGATGCCTGTGAAAAAGCAGTGGTTTTCTTTTTTACTCACAACGATTAACATTTTACCAGGAAAATGTAAATGGCATCTAAGTATCCCTAAATGTGGGAGGTAGAGTACAGTTTGAAGATAGGTTTGAGGAGTAGAATTTGCATTGCTGAGGCAGGAGGATAGTTCTGTATCCCACTGTCACATGTTTTTTCAGGTAAAGCTTTTGCAAAACATCTAGCTGGTTTGTTTGTTCTTGGGCTGTATGTTTGTTTTTGACTGTTTGGTTTTGCGTGCATAGGAAGGAATAGTAAATATCTTAGTTGGAAAAAATACACTTAAACCTTAGCATTTCTAAACAAAAGTAGTGTAAACATGGTTTTGGGATGGAAATGAAGAAAAACGGCAGAGCACCTACTGCAGAGCACGAGCAGAACTGTGGGCTCTGTCCTGAGGAGCAGCTTGGTTGAGATTTGAGGAGTGATGAGAGCAGCATCTTTTGCTTTGCTGTCAGCTTGGGCAAGTCACCCGCGCTTCCCAGACTGCCATTTCCCATCTCTAACCCTCCCCCTCCGCTTCCTGGGGTCTGAAGACCATGCACATTTTATAGATGAAGTCATGTATCGTAAACCTCCTGATGAATGGAGTGCAAACTTAACATAGTAACAACCCATAGGTGCTTCCTGTATGTCAAACTTTATTTTTTTATTATATGTGTATGTTTGTATCCGAGCATTTTACAGTTGGTTGGATGTTGCAGAGAGACATATTACCGAGACTAAGAGTTGCTGAGTTGTACCATAACTTAAGTCTAAATAACTTTATAAATAGTCAAGTTGGGCTCAGTAGCAATTCCTGAACCCCATTAGGTAGAACACATAACAGCTTTCTTGGAAAAAAGACGTTTGGGTGGTCTGGATATGATCAGCTGCTTGGCTGTTTTATTAGTTGTGCTATAAATACACTTTTTAAGATTTGCTTTTTCCAGTTGAGTGTTAATACTGTTAAAAGATGAAAAAACCTACAGTAATTCTAACGTGGTACTGCTGTTAAGGATTTGATCTATATTCAGAAATCTACAGTTTCTTAAACAACACATCTACTAGCTGGGGCATAATTTCATTTCTGGAGTTAAAGCTATTGAAGCTGGGGCGTAATTTCATTTCTGGAGTTAAAGTTATTGGAGGGACAGGATTAGACAAAACATGCTCTGCTTGTCCTGTAGCTGGTTTGCAAAGTTGATCTGAAGCATTAAGCTGATGAATTATTAAATGTGTTGGGTAAGCCTTAGGTAAAAATATTGGAAAGCCAGGTAGGGTGTATTCGGTGGAGTGATCACATGCAGCAATCAGGTCTGCATGAAGGCAGCCCTCAGGCTGTCGCAGGGGAGTCGAGAAATGTTTCGAAAGGAGAGCAGCGCTGTGGCACCCTTCAAAGCCAAATGAGGTTAGTGCTCTTCCCACAGCATTGAAAATGCCCTGCTGAAGTACTCGCTATCAGCGCTGGTGGCTGCATGGTGCAGCAAACAGGGACCCAGCCCGTGCCCTTCTGTGCTCACGTAGAAGCATCACTTGATTTTATTGATGCAGAGTGTGTCGTCTCCACTTGAAAGTGGTTCGTTTCATCGCCGGAAATGTGGAATCCAGTCACATCACCTCCCGGTGTGCTAGGGTGTTGGTTTTTTTAATATCACAAATATGTTGTTTAATTGGTAATGGCATCCAAATGGCTATGCATTCCCATTTATGTACTGTGTATTTGACAGCTTTTTGTATATGGTGCTTTTCAGTTGCCTGTGCTGTCAGTCTCCTCTATAATTTGCTTGGGTTCTTCACAATAAAAAGCTATGAAAAATGGAAAATAATATATTTTTTTTAAATAGGGAAATCATTACAGAAGTTTAAAAATCAAGGAAGATTTAGAACTAGGCACCCTGAAATTCCCCTTTAAAATTATTTTGGTAATGAAATGACTAGTGTGTGTCCCTTTGGCATGATTATCTTTAATTGAATTGAATCTTTTAAAGCACAGACGAGGCCTTGTGGATAATTTAGAAAACTCTTCCCTTTAAATACAGTTTCACCTTTGTCAATTACTTTCTGTTTTATCTCTCTTTTTTTTTTTTAATAGAGAATATTTGCATGAGTATAAGATGTTTTGCAAAGGTTTATCTACCCTGCTGTTTCATCCCCACCTCTGTGATAACTGCTCTCTACACGACATCACACTCGTTTCCCCAGTGACCTACTGCTACAAGGCATTACTGCTGGAGCAGTGGGACTTTCTTGTAAATAAGATGCTATGCTTTCCGTCACAGACTTTGAATAATTCACTAAAATTTAAGTGCATTATAACAGCTTCGTCAAAGTTAAGCCTGAGCTAATCTGAGAGAGGTTTTGGTCAGTGGTGGTGTGCCTGGGCAGTTTCACTAAAGCCTATAGCACCCATCACATAAAAGAAAAATGTGTTTTTAATAGTAGAACTTCACAAATTATTGATATCACTTCCTAATATATATTTACTGTAATTTTCTGTGCTTGGGAATTTAGGTCCTAGCAAGAGCAAATGTTAATTTAATCTCATTTTCTCTTGTCATGCGTCTCTCAAAAATATTTGCAGCTGGGTATTTACAGAAGTAAAGTTAGATATTTTTGGTGCTGTTTCAAACCTGGTTTTAATTTTATTTATGCAAGTGCATGCAGCCTCCCCCAACGCCAGTGACCAGTGTCCCCAGGCTGCCTGGCTTTAGGGAGGGGGAGTCGTGCAGCTGGCATCAGGGGGTGAGCTGCAGCCCAGCCTGGCAGTCCCCCTCTCCGGTGCTTCCATCCAACGCCTCCCGCCACCAGACTTGGTGGCAGAGTAGCTGAGTAATTCAGTTCAGTCCCAAGCGGTGGAAGAGAGTGCAGGGGCAAGTCTGGGCTGGGTATGGAGATAGAAAGCAGATGTCAAGTACACGGAGGAGTAAAATAGTGAATTCAAAACTGTTGAATTGATGTCAGCAAGAAAATAGAATAATGCATGAGCTTGGATTTATTGAGATTTGAGTGCCTTTCAGTTGAATGAAATCATCCACACCACCATTTCAGGCTCTTTGCAGTCTTACTCTAGCAGCCATACGTCCATTTGTGCTCACTCCCCTTTCTTTTTTTAAATTGTCTGCCTCTCTCAAGGCTAGAGGTCATTTTTTTCCCTCTAAAATGCCAAAGACCCTATGTCCCAAGCTATATTCAGTCTTCTCTCTTACATTGCTTTACCCAACACCTTTTTAAGGAGAACAGATTGAGGTGCCATCGCTTTTCTTTATCTTTCATTACTTATCTGGTACAATCAGGTAAAATACTACTTTCTATGGCAATAGCCAAAAATCTATACTGGGCAAACTGTATCAGGATGCTAGATGGGTAGTGGTTTATACATTAACATGCCTTTGCATAATACTGACAGATCAGGCTTACAGCAGAAAACCGATACGTTGTTGGGGGTTTTTTTTGAGCAGAGAACCAGAAGTAAGAGTTCAGGTTTTCATTCTGTCAGGGATGCTGATTCATAGGGTCTTTGAACAACTATATAGCTATTAAATTCCATGTTTTGTTAATTGCCCTGCTAGCTTTTACTCTTCTTAAGATCAAGAGAGTAATTGTGCATACCTAACTCCTAGCACTGTATATAGTAAGTGACTGAGGATTGAGTTTGCAGACTTACTACTTACGGACCAACAAATTACTTTATTCATCAGTGGCAGTGCATTTAAAAGTAGAAAAAAGAGGTCAGCTGCACCTGCTGCAGGTTTAGGCTGCATGTAAAAGGGTGAAAATTAATAGAAGAAAAAATAATCCTTGTGTGTTTTTTTGCAGGGAAGCTTGGTCGTTTTCCACCGAGGATGCATTACCAGGCTACTCCCGACAGCCGAGCTGCCCCTCATTTTCCAAGGTCTCACCTTGCTGAAGCAGTTGCCAAAGCCAAGGCAGGTGGAGGTGGTGGTGGAAGCACTGGTGGAACTGGGAGAGGTCTTGTCGGGCAGATTATCCCTATATATGGATTTGGCATCTTCTTATATATCCTGTACATTTTATTTAAGGTAAGACCAACATAAATTGAAAAGTCTGGGAAATAACAACTAAAAAAACCTCAAAATAGAAACGATAGTCCCATTTCTGTACTTGGTTCCATTTCAGCCTTGCTTGAGAAAAAAATGCTTATGCTGGACCTTTGGTGGTTGAAAGATTGGTGTATCATGTGGTTTTTGCTATTGCAAAGACTGTAGCTAAGAATGCAGGGGCGGGTTGCTGAAGTCCTGTATTGGCCTCTGACCTCTTACAGATTTTTTAAGGATTTTTTTTTCCCCCTGGAAAATGTGTATGTCTAGAACAATGTTAGATTAACTTTTAATATACACATAGTATTGTTTTCTATTATAGGTGACTACATACTATATATACTGTATATGTCATGTACTGTGTTACACATTTAAAGTGGGAGAGAGGGAGTACAACTATTGTATAGCTTCTGGAACAAAAGCACCACGTTGTTGGAGAATAGGAGTTTAGAAGGTTATATTGACCATGCTGGAGCTACCCCAGCTGAGGAACTGCTTGAAAGCTAGTGGAAAAAAGCACAGCCCAAATTCCCCTCAAGTGTTTCACACACGATTTGAACCTCATAGAATCATAGAATCATAGAATGTTTAGGGTTGGAAGGGACCACTAGTGGTCATCTAGTCCAACCCCCCTGCAGTGAGCAGGGACACTGCTAACTAGATCAGGTTGCTCAGATCCCCATCCAACCTGGCCTTGAATGTTCCCAGGGATGGGGCCTCCATTACCTCTCTGGGCAACCTGTTCCAGTGTTTTACCACCCTCATTGTAAAAAATTTCTTCCTTACCTCTAGCCTGAACCTACCCTGTTCTAGTTTAAAACCATTTCCCCTTGTCCTAACACAGCTGGCCCTACTAAAAAGACGTTCCCCATCTTTCCTATAGGCCCCCTTTAGGTACTGGAAGGCCGCAATCAGGTCTCCCCGTAGCCT